TTTTTACTTGTAAAAAAATGTTGCTAATTGCAAATTGTAAATCCAGGTTAAATTCTGAAATTGTACACACATGTTAGACTTAGTATGTTCCCTTCCATATGCCAGCATATGGCCGCCTAGAGTGGTCTTTTAGACCTGATGGGCGGGGTATAAATCAAACAAACAAATAAAATAAATAAATAAATAAATAATATTACATTCATTCTTTTTAAAAGCTTCTAGAGTAGAACTGAAAAACCAGCACTGTTATGGATTTTGTTCAGGATTGTACTTTAGTACACTTAGAGTTTTCTGAAAACTCAACTTGTTAAAGAGAAAATTTTATTATTGTGTGTGTGTGTGTGTGTTTGAGAGAGAGAGAGAGAGAGAGAGAGAGTGCTATATATCTAAGATCTGCAGATTTCTTTATTGGATTTATTCTATGTTTAATAATTAATTCATTTTGTAATTAAGTATCTTTTTAACTAAGCAAGAAACAAATGTGTAGATCCATTGCAGTAATATGGAAATGTTTACCATTCCGTTGAGTCGCTTCTGCCAAGATGTTGAAGAAAACTTTGGCTCTTCCTTCACATCTAAAAAATTTCCTCAAATATGTGACCTCATGATGGTTAAAAGATAGCCAGAGTCAGGCAGTGATTTTCTCGCAGATTGAGGCCTAGTTATGTCATGGGTCACAGGGTTCAGCATGTGAACAGGAAGGTGAGAAGTGCTGAACTTTTACCTCAGTTGTGCAGCCCATCAGAGAATAAATGGACCACATCATTCTACAGCTGAATAAAGAGGTGAACTGTTGCATACCTATTGCACAGAGCCCTTTGTGTTCTAGACATGATCCAGCATTATGATTGGATCCTCTAGGCTGTGGTTTTGTAACAATTACTAAGCCATTATCACATAAGAACACAAGATCATTTATCTCCTAATTCAGAATGTCACCTGTTCTTCATTTGCAAGTCAATAACCATTAATTATTCCAGTGGAACTTTAAACAAAGATTTTCCCCTCTGTTAAAACTGGTAAACCATTTGGTAATGGCAAATAAATATAAAGCTGCAACATTTTTGTATGTTCTTATTTTGAACTTAAACCAACATTGTATATAAACCTAGAAATTGTTGTATCAAGAACTGATACTTTGTGGTGGAAAAAAGTATCTATGATTTTGACTGTATAAATGAATAGTAGAGATTTCTGTTGACTATACAATATTTATTGATGAGGTGACTGTTTATTGAATGACTGAATAACTTACAGCTTACAATTAATGTTCATATGAAATAAGGAATTTTAGAAAATATATATAAGCAATTAAATGTAACAAGTAATGTATACAGTCAAACCTCAATACAGAGGAAGACAATTGAGGTTGCTTAAGTGATGGTTCTCCAAAACAGGACTAGTTTATTGAATGCTGATTTTTTTGTTTACCAAAAAAAAATTCAAAACCTGATACAGACAAACAAAACACACACAAAAGAAAACATTTTCTCATCTTCTTATGGAACACTTTTTAAAAAGGAGATAGGTGTATTAGACTGTTGCTGCAAAAACAGCATTTAAGATCAACAAGTTTTGTTTGGGATGGGATTTTTTTGGACTGCAGCCCCTTCTGCAAATGCATGGAGTGTAGCCTTATGAGGCATTATGTTCTCTAAGCATGTTATAGCAGATCCATAGGTACATAGAGAACAATTTAGTTCATTAAAGAGGATCAGACAGTGCTGTGTGTTGTGGCTTTGTGTTGTATTAATTGCAATAATTGAGCCATAATTTGGAATAATTTAGGACTTGGATGCTAGTTTTTACCATCTCTGTGGCATGTATTTATGCACTGTCATCTTCTAGTAGCAGTTCTCTTCAGTCACCACTATAATATGATAGAAATTAATATAGTGGATTGGAATAATTGATTGCAGAATTAGAAATATATTGGCATAGGGTTTGTTTTAGATTTTAGACTCTCCAAAAGTGCCAAGCTAGCCATTTATCTTTTGTTTTAACCTATGAAGTAGCAGTGCTAATAAGGTGTGCTAGGCAACTTGATGGGGTTCCAGTAAAAGTCCAGTTGCTAGCTTTAGTAATACTTATTGATTGATTAAATTTACCCTAATTTCAGTTGACCTGTTCATGATGCTCAAGTAGTGTGTCTGGCACAATGTAATGTATGTGTTTGTTTGCTTTGCTTTGTTTAATGTTTTATTACAGTCCATGACCAGCAAAAGACATTAAACATAATACAGGTTACATTTGTAAGGCAGTTACAATGCTAAAACAGAGGGGAAAAGAGTTAAAGGAAAGTTATAGCTTAAAATCATTATCCATTACATCTTTATGTATCCTGTATGCAGCTGCGAGAAATTTTGCACAGGTAAATGTAATCTGCCGATTAAGACCTAAAAGTAGTTTGTGTGAGATGTCTGTTTCAGGACAACCCAAAGATACATAGTATCTTGTCATTTGGGGAATTAAATAAACTGTTTTAGCTTTGTTGGCATTAATAGCATACTGGTATTTCCATAGCAGAGACTATTTTAGCCACCATGTGTTAGAAGGTGTGGTCCTTTTGGAAACATCAGTACATCTGGCATTAATCAGTCCAGAAATCCCTGTAGTGCACAGATCAAGAGAGCCTGTGCAGTGCAGTAGGTGGAGTGTCTTCAGTTTTTCCCTTGTTCATCTTTGTGTGCCTCTTAAGAAACAAGTGATGACTTCTGACATCCTGAGCCAAAAACACATCAAAAGAGTTAGAAATTATGACACGCTTTCAGGGAAGGATTTAATCATGCAATTACATTGAAGTCTGAAGATTTAAAAAAAAAATAGAAACTCATTCCTGACCCTGAAAGGCTGGTGTATCACAACAGAGATGGCAGAATAGAAATCGCCAAGTATCCTTTATAAATTTGCCCAACTATTTCATTGGCCTAATTTTTGTTTTTCAGGCTACTCTTCCAGGTACACAAAAAGACCATACTATTGAGACCTAGGGCCTGTGGAAGAAATAACTTATAAACAGTTCTCTGAGAATGTATTAATTCTGTCTGTAGTTCTGTTGTGAGGTGGGGTTGGAATCTGAACTTTTCAGGTGGTATTTACTATAAGAAACTGAGCTGTCCCAGAGCTTGTATTAATCTGATTTGCAGAGTCTCCACTAGCATCTGGGGACCTACTAAAGTTATTTTCTTTAAATGTGATGTGAAGAGGTCAAAGCAAATAGCATTGTGGGTTGCTCTACAAGATAACAGGTCCTTTATACCATATGGGGAATGTTTGAATTATTGTGTTTGCATACTGATTATTTATTAAACAAGGATTCAGCCTTATAGGTAGCTCCCTGTTTCTTTCACTAAGGGATTAAAGTATTTCAGTCATTTTGGATTGATTTACAGTGGTAAGTTTTTCTCCAGATAGCAGTTGAAGGCAGCAGTGTGGTCTAGTTGATGGAGTAGCAGACACAGAGTCAGAAGTCCCCAGCTCTGTTCTTGGCTCAGCTGCTAGCCCAGTGTGGGATGCTGAAGACATTTGTCGCTCATGAATTCCCCTCACTTTTAATCCATCATAACCATTTAGTAATAAAACCCTTCATAATCATTGGCCATCTATCGTATCAGACTCAGTTACTGTATACAACTTTGACACTGTAATATAAGAGATGAAGAATGACATGTGATCCTAATTTATTTTTAAATACTTTTTGCTATTTGCCTTTTGTACTTTATAAAATCATATTTGTATTCTTTTTCCTTTCTATATACCTACAAAAATATACAAGTGTAAAATAGCTACATTTTACATAAAACAGTATGAGAGAGGGTGTGTGTATTCATATACATTATAGAAATAATTTGCTCCCCTGTGTGATTTACTACAGCCAAAACATATAGTCAATACTGTCCAAAGTCCTATTGAGATTTTACTCAGGAATAAATGAAATCATGTTAATTGCAACAACAAATTCCAGCCAATTAACAAGGGGGTCAGGTACACGATCAAGTATGTAAACAACCATGTGACTGGCAACCTTGTTAATTAGCTGCAATTTGCCACTGCAGCCTATGAAATTTCCTTTATTTCTGCGTAAAATCCCATTAGGATTCTAGATACTAAATTGCTTGGTTTACTGCAGGTACAAATCTGGGTTTTTCCTTTGGCAGGAATATTACATGGTATAGTATTTTTAACACAGCAACTCAATTTGAGCGTGACCAAAAGGGCTTACAAGCAAATATTCCTGTGTGTATCAAGATGCAGCTACCACTTCTTGGGAACACTTTGAATCACTGGTTGAGGTAAATAGTGAAAGATGCACAAACAAAGCCTCTTCTGATGCAATTCCTACATAGCTCTCTTGTCTAATGGCTGGTTTAATTCACCTTGAAATGTTGGAGAAGCAGTCCTCATTGCACATGCAAATGTGCTAAATGAGAAGGCCATTTGGAGCAACAAAGAAATGTGCTGGGGTCAAGAATTTTGGTCTCTGGCACTTAGAAGCTTCCTACCAATCTGTTGTGACCTTTAGAAGGCACTCTCCCCATGACCATTTGTCCTTGGGCAAATGGTGTTTGTACCTAGAGACATTGCCATCTGCCTTGCTCATGGTAGGGCCTTTTGTGTCATATCCAGTACAATGAGGAAAATAAACCATCTGACTCTAAAGCATTTGCACATACTATATATTTGAACACAGTTTTGGTGTACCAAAAGAGATTCATGATTTCTGTGAATTTTATCTTGATGTTTCAAGAGAGATTTAGTGTGGACGAGTTAAAGAGATGTTGCAGTAGTGGGTAACACAGAGAGCAGTGAGAAGTAAAACAAATTCTGTTTCTGTACTGGATTACTTTCCTTCTTCCTCATTGATGCTGATTTTCCTATGGGTTATGTTTTTCTTCTATCTGGAAATGTTTTGCTTTTTAAAAAACAATAATACTGTATAGTATTATATGACAGAGTCAGATACAAATGTCCTGACTGAGGCCTTACTTCTCTTTTTGCAGGCAATGTGGCTAATGCTGCAAATGGAACAGCCAGAAGACTTTGTTATAGCTACTGGAGAGGTTCACAGTGTCCGTGAATTTGTGGAAAAGGCATTTCATCACATTGGGAAAACTATTGTGTAAGTTGAAGCATCTAGTAACAATGACGGAATATCTAATGTTCGTCCACTTCTGTTTTCATTATGTATTGTGCTCCTTCTTTTTATAATACAGTATACAGAAGATCCTGCTGTATATACTAGTTGTTAGCATTACCATTCATTTATTCTAACAGAATTCCACCCTTTAGAAGATCACATGTACCTTGGATGTGTGTTAATGAATTAATTTAAGAAATTTCATTTCATTTTTGCTTGGATTGTGATCCCTCCTTTTCTGAAAGTTTACACTACTTCATTTTAATATTAAAAATCTATATCCCACCTTCTACTGTAGCACAACTTTTGCAAATATATATATGTTCCTAGTTAGAATACTTCTGTGTCTCAAACATACAATGAGATAAGAATACTGTATATATGGGTTTGAGAGAAACCAAGGTCATAAAGAAAAAAACTTATATATAAGATTGGATCCCAATTTAGGTGTGTGAAAACAAGCTGGTAGAAGAAGATGTCCTTATATCCTTGCTCCTGTGTTCAACTCTCTAGTTCTCTGAAAATGCTACACAGGATAACTTAGTAAATGGGGCAAAATGGAGCAAAGAGGGGAGGGAGAATTCCTGAAAATTGGGAGCAGGTGCTTTTCATGGAGCTGTTCCTCCAGCAGAAAAAGTATCCTGGATTCTGTTTATTCCATATTTATTAAGATCCTATTTCAGCTGTTTCACTTCCTTTCCATGGAAATGGTGCCCAAAGCAGCAAAGAGAAATAAAATACATACCCCTCCAACATCTTTGTAAAATATATAATGCCATAAACGCTTAAGTAGGTGAAACAGATCAGTTGATAAAACAGACCAGAAAAATCACAGCAAAACTTTAGCCATATAAAACCAAAGTCTCTCCATGTCTGGTTACATGTAAAGTTTAAAAAATTGAGTTTTGTATAGGGGAAGGGAATTCCAGATTTATAGAGCAATAACCAGGCATACTTCTCTTTGTCATTCATGTTACAAATTGGTACACAGATAGTATAATCCGGAGTCCTTAAACATTTCTTGGTATGTAGTTTAGAGTTTTTAGTTTCTGATTTGAAATACCTTGCAGTATCTAGAGGAACTCTTCTGTGAGTCCAATCCTATAATATTTTAAACTATTACCATTTGGCCTTTTCTCCAGTGTGCCCTCGTAACTCAGAATATCATTTCCATTTGGGCAAGCAATCAGAATAATCACAATGCCTCCTGAAAACAGGCTTTTGTTTGCATGCTAGATTCTGCCTGCCCTTTAGTATCCATGGAAATCTCAGTGTTTTTGACTGTTGTAATCGTATTTAGCCATAAAAGCGTTATGGTATGGATGCAGAATATTTACAGTGAGTATTCCTGAAAGTTTTACTGTTAATACAAAATCCCTTCTACAGGTCAGATAATAAAATTAGGATGGCTCTGTTAATACTTTCTGTAAATTATATTTTTGTTGTAGTTTTCCCCCCAATTGTTTTGCTTCTGTACCTTCTCTGGGCCCCATGCATAAGCATCCTTCAGCTAGAAGACAGAAAGCAAGGCCACAGCTTCTTCTTCAAGCTCTCTGTGAATGCACACTAATGGGTTAACTTGCGCCTGCGCAGAGTGATTTCGGAACCTTCTAGAGCTCAGGCACATGGTGCCAGGACCTCCCCCACGCTGCCTATAGCCCCACCCCCAGCACTGAATGCCTCAGTTCCGTTTCTGCCGCTGCTGTTGCAGCATCTCAGAGCCCTTTGCGTAGCATTATTTCACCCCAATAAAGTCTCCCTTTCGGACAGACACTTCCAGTGTTTATGCTGTTTGGGCGAGGAACACCAGCCAGCTTTATGTGCAGTTTGTAAAGGGTTTACTAAACCTGCCTTAAAACAGAGACTGCAGTGTTTACGTTCTTTTTTGTGGGAAAAATCTCTCTGCCCGTCCTGGGAGGTACCTATGGAGCCGCCGCAGTCGGCACCGGCCAACGCTCTGTCGGCTGCACCTTCTCCGCCCAAAAAAGCTAAGAAATCAAGAGCGGTACAGATCTCGTTGGGGTGAATATGAAACCTACCTCAGTCCCAACGGCCACGACTTCGATCGACACCGATATCGAGCGCCTTATGACCTTAACTTAGACAGATTCCATCACTGGCCCGATATTACGGTTCCTAACCCCCCCCCGTCGCCTTCTCGACATCAACAGCATCCAGGAATCTATTTCTATTCGGAGGGCAGGCGGGAACGCAACCCTTTGCTGAGGGCTTGCGTGCCTGTAAGGAATGAGCTTTTGCCTCCCATCTCATGGACTCCGGCTCGCTCGATAGGGTCATAAAGGCAGACACAGTTCTTGAGATCACTTGGACCTAAGCCATTTAGAGGTTTATAGATTAAAACCAGCACTTCGAATTGTGCCCAGAAACAGAATGGCGGTCAGTGGAGCTGCTGCTAAGGGAGGAGGCGTTATGTGATCTCTGTAACCAGGCCCAATTACAATCTGGCTGCTGTGGTTTGGACCTGCTGAAGTTTCCAAACACTTGCAAAGACAGCCCCAGGTAGCGTGCATTACAGTAACAGTTTTTTTCATATTGAAAGGTTGCAGTGTTTCATTTTATAGTTGGTCTGAAACAATAAAGAAATTTGTTTGACAAATGAAATGCATATAATTTTATCTGCTAGACCATTTATCTTTGGAATTTATTTTTATTTTCCCCCCCTGTTAACACTGTCATGGCCAAGGAAACTTTTGGAATGATCAGACTCAAATGTGATTCCAGTTCACTCCTCTGCACTGACAGGAAAGCCTTTGAGCTATAAACATTTTTCTCCATAACCAATACCCCCCCCGTTTCCCCCTTTTCCTTTTGACTCTTACTAATTAAGTAATATGATGGGGAAACATTTCCCTTCTCTAATTTGAACTCCAGCAGGATGAAACAAACAGGCAAACACTTGTCTTGACTAATTTTCTGTCATTAATCTTATCAAATTAGAGCAGGATTCTAAGCATTGCCTCAAACCACTGTACAACTCAAGAGTTCTTAGCAGACAGCTGTGAGAAGGGGTGGGGGTGGGGGAACCCATCCAGACAATGGAAAGATTTATAGATTTTTAAAATATAATTCTGCATGTAGATTTGCAACAGAAATATGCATCACTTGAAGCATTGATACTAACATGTTTTTATCTGAAATTAACTTATTCTTTGTGAGATGATTTCAAAGTTTTAGGAAAAGCAAACTAAAAATGTTTGAACACATAAAGAGCTCTAAAAAGTCTCACAGGGAGTATCCTTAACCTAATGAAACACTGGAGAATGAATGAATTTAGAGAGCATACATTTTTAAAAGGAAAAAAGTAAAGTGAGATTACTGACAATGATTACTCAGTTCCTGACAGCTTCTTATAGTCCAGATTCCCTCAGATTGGCGGCCTCTCTTTTCACAGCTCCAATAAAGCCACAAGTTCTTGCTTAGCTTTCAAGTATATCAGTCATTCTTTATCATAAGGATGCACAAAGTACAGCCCGTGGGCTTAGGCCTTTTTTCAGGAGCAGACCATTAGAATGGGCAGTTTGCTTAAGTGACTACAGTAGTTATTGAAAGTGTTGAAAGTTAGTTGACATGACAGACTTGATTGGATGCCTTTAATTATCTTCAGTTACAAGCCTCTTCCCGGGGTCTCTTTTCCTTTGTAATCAATCAATATTTTCTTTGCTATTTAAACATTCTTTGTTATTTAAACAGCTGTTGGACATTTTTGTCATTTAAATGTCTCCTGCTGTTTCTTCTTCCACCATAATCAATATTACAGTACATGGTTCTCCAAGCTGACTTACATTTATTCTATAGACAATTACATTTAATATTGAATTAATTTTAATGAAAGTTTCAGGGGATATGGGTAGAAAAATTGATAAACTGTAATTTTTAACAAAAAGAATTACTATAGTGGGATTGTTGGGGTTCTTAATACTAAGACATTTTATTTCAGGAGATATGAGTAGAAAAATTGATAAACTGTAATTTTTAACAAAAAGAATTACTATAGTGGGATTGTTGGGGTTCTTAATACTAAGACATTTTATTTCAATAAAATTTTAAATAAACGAAAATAAAAATAATGAACAAGTTCCATCTATCCTCTTGGGACATCCAACTGGCCAGAAAAATGGTCCCAAGTTTTACAGAAGTGGCCCACTCTGCATTAAAAGAATCAGAGGTTGGAAGTAACGTGTTGAAAACAATGGTACTATTTGAGAGTGGTTTTAACCTTGTTTCTTTTGTTTTGAGCAACAAGTCTCAGTACCATTATTTTCTGTTTGTTACATAGCAACGTTAATGTTTTGATTCAACAAGTATAATTATTTATTCACATTTAACACGTTGATTGTGAAAGTACTGGATTCCGAAACTTGGGGTAACTAACCAGTAAAGTAATGCATTTATTTTAAAATGTTAGAGGAGACTAACAACAGTTAATTGCTTTTCCACAAATTTAACACTGTACCACTGGCTTTAAGATTTCTGAGCTCTGATAAGAATCTAGTGTAGTTTCACAAGGTCACTACTTTAGTTTTAGCTTATTGTAAGCTTGGTTGTTGTGATGAACATTTCAAATAATAAATTGGTGTTGTTAAATCTGTTCCTTTCCCCACAAACTTTATTCAAGTCATTCAAGAGAAGAGTCAATAGTACAAATCCCCGACTGTTTGCCAGGCGTCAGCAGATTACTGTGGAGTACTGAATATAAACAGCCATAAACAGTAAATGTGGTCCACAATGTGCACAGAGTCCTGAACCTAAGTTCAAATCCCCACTTAGCCGTAGACAGTTACTTTCTCACAAAATAATATGTTCTGCAAGATCATGTGAGGATAAGTGGCAGCAGGGACAATAGATGGTTATATGTATCACTATGCTATTTCAAAAGGGATCATTCCCACAGAGAAAAACCATCCAGAAGTATATAATGTGGCCACAATGGTGAAGATTAAGATTAGTGAATAATCTAATCA